TAAGGGGGACTACAATCCCGAGCACTTGCAATTTTATGGGTTACGCCCATCAACTGGGGGGGGATGACTACTAAGCTGAAGGTATTTGGGGTTAGGAATTAGGGCTTAGAGTGGAGGGTTTTGGGCTTAGGGTTGGGGCTCAGAGTTTGGGATTTTGCATTCAGGGTTTAGATTAAGTAGGGGTCATGAACTCCTTGGAAGTGTGGGAATACCAAGTGGTCAAATTCAGGTCTTTACAGGGGATTTCGCTGCGCTCTGTCACCCCTAAGCCCAAACCTTACGGGCCCAAAACCCTATTGTTTCGCCTTCAAGCTTCTCAAGTTCTTGAAGCGACATCTGAAACTTGCGGTCTCCAGACTCATGTGAGCTATAGTCTAAACTCGTTAAAGGGGGTTGTATAGGGGATTATAGGGCAGTACTAGGGGGGTTATCAACGGGGATACTAGGAGTCTAGGCTATAGCTCATGTGGCACAGCGCCGTCATCATCAATGGCAAGCAGAAGCACGTTTCCGCACCTGGAAGTGACTGCTCATGAGCGTCAAGCACTGCTAGAAATAGGTCACTACACCTTTATGGGCATGCCGCAGCCCTTTGCATGTCCTTTGCTTGTAAGGGCCCATCCACAGCCCTTGGCATTTCCATATGTCCCTGGGGCTTGTAAGGGCTCATCGTTTGGAGAAACCCCCGCTACTTGCCTCAGGACCACAAGAAGGACGGCACTGAGAGGAAGCCGAGCCCCACCAGTTGCTCGGATCGCACCAAACAAAATGGAAAGTACTATTTGGGTATTGGTCTAAATTCCCTATAATACAGGGTCCTATATTTGGGTTCCTATTATAATACGGGGCCCCATATAAATTTCCCCCATTTTGGGAACAGTAATTTAGGGAAACTACTATTTGGATAATGGACAACCAAATGGAAAAAGAATATGGAAGTTGCGAGTATGTATGGTATGTAGTGGTTTCTAGGGATCATATGAGCTACTGTCAATATGGGGTTTTCCAGTGGACCATTGAGGGTGGACATAGGAGTCCTTCTGGTAAACGCCTTCTGGTAAACGTAATGTTAAGTGACCACATGAGGACATGTTGGCTGTAGCTCATGCAGGATTTAAAATGCAAGGTCTTCGTGTGAGACGGGTACCGCAAAACTTAGGGGCACCATGCAAAGTATGCTGTTATCTGCTGTGTAGTTGCGCCTGCGCTCCGCGTTTCCATCCCCCCTCAAAGGCTTGGCCTCCAACTGGGGATATGGCCATTTCTAGCAACCCCACGACCACAAACTCTCCATACCCCGCTTTCTGCACACCCTCTGTAAATCCTACATCCCAGGACCTAGCCCAACAGGACCACGGGGCAAGACCTCTATAAGACTATAAAGCCTTCAAACAACTATTGAATCCTTTTCTATACTCCCGTAAAAACTACAGACATTGTAAACCCTCTTTATAACCCTATACTGTAGCAGTTTCCTGTTTATTTTCCATTATCCCAATATGGCCCCATTTCCGACGTGCCTGTGAGCCACCCAAGGAAAAGATCAGCGCAAGGACGGGAGGGATGTGGCAGTCGGAGGAGTAGCCGTCCTACTGTTGATACTGAAAATCCTGCATGACCTTAATATACAATAGTCCCATGCATCCCAATGTATAGTTAGTTAGGGTCATGCTGGATTTTTTGTATCCACGGTAGCACGCTAGCAAAAAATTATGACCGGTTTGCTGCTGAGCGAAGTTTCGGTGAAGTTTTATTTTTTTAGATTCTGTCTT